AGAATTTGGCTGTTTTATCTATCGAAAAAATCTTAATTCCTCTCGCCAACTGAAGCGTACTCTGTATGCAAACACAAGTTTGAAAATTTATATAGTATCTTCTTGCAAACCTTTCTTGCTTTGTAACTGCTTTGTAGCTGTAATTTTCCAAGAACTGGTTAAGAGGCGCCGTACCGAAAATTGGTGTAGTCTTGGCTTTCCTAAGTGCGCCTTAGGACCAAAAAGATTGGTCAAAATAAATACTCTTTTATATGTCTCATAAATAGAGAATTGTCTCTTGTTTAAAGATTTTGCATGCCTAGGGCCTCATAATCGATTTGAACGCAAGGTCAGTGCTACGCAGGCAGTTCGCACATACATATTTCGCCAATGAACAAATTTCTACAAACGCAACTAGACCTATGTGATAGTGCAAACTGTGCTCTAGAATCTCATCTTAAAAGGGTCTAATAAAGCTTTGAGCTCAATCAGTTTCAAAGCAAATTATGACGGTATAAAAATTTTTCCTTTTTTGAGAGGGATCTGACTTTTCATCTTACGTTCTTAAAAGAGGTCTTCTTGAGGTCTTTGAATTCTGTAAGATGTATTTTGTAGAGAATGATTAGTGTCTTCCATGGCATGAATGTGAGCTTGTACTTTCAAGCGGTTTCTTCGTGACATTGTTTGTAAAGTTGGCGCTAGTAATTTTGCGCACCCTGTACACTAAAAGGCGGTGATCCTACCGCAGAAGTCTAACGAAAAATGTTTCCGCCTAAGGCCCCGGGCAGACTTCACGCGATTTGATCGTCGCGACTGAATCGCGACGAGACAACTGTTACAACATCATTCCATGCCGATCAACTTGCATTTCGGTTGTGATACTTTTCCAGACCGAAATTCTTGAATGTGAAATGAAAATGAATGGAAATCTTGGCGATTAGATCGCGACGATTAAGTCGCGTGAAGTCTGACCGGGACCTAAGAGTAAATACCTATACTTGTAGAACTTGTAATGTTGCTTGAGTAGTTTGACTACTCAAGCAACATTACAGTTGAATGGCATCTCCTCGGGTAGTCCGCGGCTGAACTCATCCAATTCAGGATCTGACACGGTTGTGGCCCAACAATTGAAGATAAAATCTAATTGCGTATGCCGGCATGTAAAAGTCGAACATTCTATTTGATTTTGTCGCGGTTTTTGAGCTAAAGAGTTGGGCGGCTACAGGCGGTAAGGCTAGATGCTGACGATAACACGGTGGGGCAAATGGGACATGTACAGAAAGATTTGTAGAAGTGAAGCGGAACGTGATGTGTGGTACAAGGTAAGCGAAACCGAGTTGATTAGCGGATTCGATAGACTCAAGTTCGGCGTCCAAATAAATTTCGGCTTTCATATTTGTTTCAATCTCTATTCTCTTTCAAATGTAAACGCATATTGCGTGAAAATCTCAAATCCTTGTTCCCGAAACCTTGTTTTTATTTCACAAACAAGTATTTCAGCGCTCTGATGGAGTGCAACGTGAAAACATGGATAACAGATCGATATAGTCAGCCTCAATCCGCAGGCCAAAGTTGTGATGATGCGTCGTCGAGTGTCGCATCACCAGTCTGCTAAACGTGGTTCGTAGTGGGCCAATTTTATTACTCTCTCTTTGACGCTAAGAGATTGGGCTGAGCATATGCTGCGCAAACCCCTAGCCAGATGCGCAAGATGTTGTGGGCAGTGTCCAGGCACATCTATATATGAGGATCTCAAGTGGAAAGTAATTTCAGGGGCCTTAACTAATACACTGCCTTAGCGACAGCTCAGATGGTGCCTCTCAATAGAGATATTTATCTCAAAAAGAAACCCCAGTAATTTACAGATGACTCGCATCATGTTGCACGGAACAATCCATCAGCTCTGCGTAGATTCCTGGAACATAGAGAAAGTTTAAGCATTTCTTCAAAACCACTAAAAGTTGGAATTCCAAATTGGATTGCAAGCAAAGATGAAGCCGTTCGCAGCCTAAATCAAATAGACCGACTCAGTTTTCTTGCAAAATTATTGCCAGAGATTGGTTCACTAAGCTTTGTATAAAAAGTAGTAGTAGCTGGAGACTGTTTGAATCTGGTGCCCTTGGAAAGTTCGACTACGCAACTGAACGCAAAATTGACGCTAACATCCGTCAATAACTAGTTATTGAAATCTCATAATCTGCCGAGACTTGCATCATAGGATAATTCTACATAATGAATACGATTATATTTACGTGCCTCAAATCAGATATTCTTACAAGGGACGCTACCTCACTTAGCTCGGCCATTTCGCAAAGTACATATAGATTCTGAATTGGCTTCAAACTCTGATTCCAAATATGCTATCTCTAGCTGCCGCGCACCATTCCGAAGTGAGTTATGAACTTTTTCCTGCGCAAAATTGGCATGCTACTGACCATGGGAAAACTGTCTGTAGATAAAAATCTGCAAGAATAACGTGCTGAGGCATCGAAATAACACAAATTCAATCTTATTTTGCTAAAAAGAAATTCAACGCAGATAAGCACTTAGATGATGATGCTGTGATGTCAGTGAGTCGATAAGTATGCCAAGTTTGCGCAAGAAAAAGTCCATAGCTCGGTTCGGAATAATGCGCGGCAGCTAGAAATAGCATATTTGGAATCAGCGAAGCTGATGTAGAATGTATCAGGTTGTCAAGAAAATAATGTCGGTTTTTATTTGCTTGCTTTAACAAAGCAACCAGACTCAACCCAACAAAGGGTAACGGGTACTGTTCAATAGAGCAAAGCAAGCTCTACAAGATAGCGCTCATATCTTTGCGACATGCTCAATCCACGGAGAGTTCGAATTCAAAATCTAAAGATCAAATGCCCAAAAAATCGAAAAAAATCAGATCTTCGCCAAATAATTTCTACGGACCTCCCACTTGCTCACATCAATACTATCGATATCTGATATCCATATGTGCGATTGCCGTATTTTTTCCTTGACTAGAAACTGAGAAAACGAAAATTTCCCTGATTTTCTCAAAGCAATGCTGAGCCGTTTTTGCATATGTAGTTCTATACTACAAGACTAGGTAAGTATAAGTGTAGATTTTCAGCCCATTCCAAGCGGTAGTTTTCGAAAAATAAAGAATTCGGATTTTTTCGTTTCAGTTTTAGTGCTAAAATCGACATTTCGCGAAAAGTACCGCTCGAAATAGGCTGAAAACCTACAGTTATGCTTACCTAGGCTTGTAGTATAGAACTACATATGCAAAAACGGCTCAGCATTGCTTTGAGAAAATCAGGAAAATTTTCGTTTTCTCAGTTTCTAGTCAAGGAAAAAATACGGCAATCGCACATATGGATATCAGATATCGATAGTATTGATGTGAGCGAGTGGGAGGTCCGTAGAAATTATTTGGACGAAGATCTGGTTTTTTTTCGATTTTTTGGGCATTTGGAAATCTTTAGATTTTGAGTTCGAACTCTCCGTGGATCGAGCATGGCGCAAAGATATGAGTGCCATCTTGTAGAGCTTGCTTTGCTCTATTGAACAGTACCCCTTACCCTTTGTTGGTTTGAGTCTGGTTGCTTTGTTAAAGCAAGCAAATAAAAACCGACATTGTTTTCTTGACAACCTAATATATGTCCCTTGCCAAAAGGGCGATAAGTCAGGTAGCATTCCTCATTAGTAACCTTGCCAAAGAGGCATTCTCGTGCAAAATCAATATGATATGATTTTTTTCCCTTTTACCGCACACCTAGCGTAACTTTCGCGTTGCCAAATTTGGGGCAGATTGCTGTAGCTTACGTCAAAAGTCAACATTGCCAAAGTGCATCATATGCAATAGAGAAAAGTTAAGTTGCAAACTGGCTAGCTAACTCGTACTCAATCTATTATACGATTTTCCTATAGGCAGTATATAAAAACAATCTAAAAATCATGCGGGGTAATATTTCTCATGCTTCAAACCAAATTGATTGGCTCTTTTGCCCAAGTGATTTGGTAGTCTCAGTTTGTTTTGTGTAATCATGCAGCAGTTGCTTTTGAGGGGGGGGGGTATTATCAGCCAACATTGCAGAAGCTTCTAATTCTAGGACGAAGGCATATGTAGCGACCAGTGGCGTACAGGATTTCGGCTCGGGGGGGGGGGCGACAAAAATTTTCTTCTAATGAAGGTGCGTGGCGTCAGCCATGCACCCAGAAAAATTTTTTGGTACCCTTCTAAAAATTTTTAACGGGCCCATAACACGCCCCCGAAAAATTTTTTTTATAAGGCTAAATTGAATTTTTAAAAATCTTCAAAATCTTTGTTTTAATCTTATATATAAAGCTGAATGTCTGTTTGCCTGTCTGTCTGTCTATCTGATCACCCCCCGTGGGGGTGATCAGTATGCTCGATTACACCCCTCTGCCAAATTGCAGCCCCCTAGCTCAAATTTTGCAAAAAATCGATAACATCGACATCGATTGATAACAAAAAGTGGACTGTGACACCCGCCGGGGCCCGAAGTGTATGTGTGCCAAGTTTGGTCCGGGTTGAGAAATGGAATTTTCTATTCGGAACATACGGCGGAGCCGGGTAAGCCAGCTAGTTACTTATATAATGACGCGTTTATTCATCTTTGTCTCAAGGCCTAACTCATACTTACCGCATTTTCGTTACATCGCTACGTTCTCGGACTTGATGAACTCTCCGGTCTATCGTACTCCATCAAGAACTATTCAATCTCGTACTCTCGATTCTTAGCCATCGCCATCGTCGAAGGTAACTTTCACGATAATGGAAGCTTGTAAGGGCCCCATGAAGAGGAAGATTTATTAATTATTGGTATTCATCCGTCTAAATCAAATAAAGTACAATACGAAAGAAACTCTATCAACATAAAGTTTACTGATACGTTCTAGTATTGCCTCTGCGAAGCGAAGTTACGCACCGGTTTTTAATGGACACATCATGCAATAACGCCTTCGCACTCTTCGTGAGAGCATTGTTCAGCATAAATTGGCCCATTCATGTTTTTAAGCTACACCCTGTTTTGAGTCTTATTCTTGACGAAACAGAAACTGACACGCTTATGTGCAGCAACACCAAAAGTCTCAGTAGACCTTGGAATTTACTTTGATTACATAAATTTGTTTCTAAACAACCACTCTGTATTACGAATCTTCTTGCAGATTGATTAGTCCTGGGGTGTTCGGCAACTTAATATGCACTTCCGTAGCTCCAAATTTGCAGCCGTAATGTCCAGCCCAATAGTGTGTGTCCTTTCCTTGACTGAGAACGCCTAACTTTCTCATACCAATCGGATAATCTTTGAAGACAAACTCCATGAGCTCCCACGACTTTCCTCCTTAACAAAAGTGAATTATTGCTTAAAAAAGGAGATGCACCAACCTTCCAACTCCTCCCATCTACGTTGAGCACAACGGTAGCGCGTAGGATCATTTTTCTGTTTTCTAGCTTCCACTGCATCAGAATCGTCGGCAGCACTGTCTTCACTGTCATCACTGTCTTCCGGTCTATCATCAAGCTTTTCGTCGAGTTTCAAAAGTTTGGCTTCAAGCATGTAAACCGCTCCACAGTCTCTCCTGCAGATGCAACGTTCGCAGATAGTGATTTCAGGTCGAACCAAGTCCATGACCCAATCCTGTAAATCATTGTGTGAGCAGAAGAAAGTCTCGTTCCGTCGACCAAAACTGTACGATCTATGTCGATGAATCCTCTATACCATAATACGTGTAAAATATTAGGTAGGTGCAAAAAGCTTTATCATTTTCGTTACCTAGAAGGCCTCCCCTATGGCCCGCCATCCAACGTGACGTGGGATTGGCCGTGAGTGTCGCAATGTACAATCAAGTGTATACCCTGTTAGGGCTTCACAAGCTTTGAAATAGCTCGACATTTCCGGTTTCGGCTGATTACCAAGATAAGAGCGGACCAGGTCGGATCTCCATCCAGCTTTCTGACGCTAGGCGGTCCCCGCTTCGGAGTTAGAGATCGCCCTGCGAAATAAAGTGTAGGCTTAGTAAGTCTGCTCTTGTAGGAGAAAAATTATTTTTAATCGGCCCAGCTAGAAGAAGAGAAAGAAACCGTGCCCATCGAGGGGGACCCAACGTACAATTACGACCGGTTTTGAAAGGATTGCGGAGAGTGCGTCTTAATGACTTCTGAGAAGTTTGAAGATTACCCCTGAATTACTCAAAAATAGAAGATCCTTAAGGCAAGATCCGAATGCAACCGATCTCGAGCGACTGATACAACGCCACTTGCAGAACAGATTTGCAAACCTAAAGAGAGACCTCCAATGTTATGGGCAGACGTTCGTGTTCGTATGAACCAGCTATAAAATCAACTGGATAAGGTTTTCGCCTCTGAAATCGTAGACGCAGTCACCTGCGACAATTAAGAAATTTGTGGATGTCGAAGCGAGGAACAGAGAAGACTTCTGTGCACGTCACATGAAGACGCACCAAGTAGGTTACACCGGGCCATGGTTCCGATGATAGCTCCAATTTCAGCAAAACTGACTGAACATGTGAAGCTTTATTCTCCGTAACTGTATGTTATTGGGGGCATAGTATAAAGAGAAAAATACTTACATTGCGGAACCATATAATTTATAGAAAAAAAAGCTTACAAGGGAAGGATACTAACTTGATCCGCCTTGAGATGGGACACATATATTTGAAATCAGCTTTGAACGCTGATTCCAAATATGCCGTTCCTAGCTGCTTAGAGTTATTCTGAAGCAAGTTATGGGTTTGCTGTTGTGAGTAACCAACGAACTTCTAAACGTCGTAAAACGGCGTGTAGATAAGAATGTGTTCGAAAAAAGTGCTAAGATGTTAAACTAGCATCATATTAATTCTTTCAATCTTGGAAGGGAGCATTATACAATTGCAAAACCACCTAGACGTCGACACCGTAGCATCAGCAGGAGCACGCAAAATTTGTGTAGATAGGAGACCATAACCCGCTTTGAAATAAAGCTAAGCGGCTAAGAACAGCATATTTGGAATCAGCGTTCCAAGCCAATTCCAAATATATGTGTCCCAACTCAAAAGGCGAATCTAAGTCAGTACCCTCCCTTTGTTAGGGTCGAAATTGAAGGGTAAATGATTCGGTGCTTCAATATTCTCCGCGGGCACGCACCAAACGCACTCTACAATATAGTCAAAGAAGCTATGTACGCGTGCAAGCCTTTTAGATTTGCGGGACCAGCCGACCAAGTTAGTGCTTTTATCCTCTCAATTTGGGAAGCTTCCAGACCACGCCGGTTGCCGTTATTGCAGCCAAAGCGCCCTGGGTCAGGCCGTTATCTCTCGGGCCGTGCGGCGCGAAAACTCGTCGACCAATCTATTTTTCTGCGTTTTTCTGTTTCTCAATTTGTATGTTATAGGCTGGTTTCGAGGTACAGTCGAGTAGATTTTCGCTTAATATAGTGTGCTTGCACATTAGGTGAAATGCGGTGAAATTTGCTTGTGAATAAATAGCCACGCTAGTATTGCCGGCATTTGGCGCGCGCAGTTGGTCGGTCACAGTAAGCTATTTGTTGACGCGCATATTTTATTGCATTTCACCTTCTGTGCAAGCACACCAAGCGAAAAATCTATCGGATGTACAAGAGTCTTTGGATAATGGTTGCTTTAAGAATTGAAACCTCGTCGTGAGGACAGATTTAGCTGGGTTTACAAAGGTGGACTGTTCATTGCGTTTATCCACTTTTCATTGGTTATTTTTAGCTCAAGTTTTATATTTTTGTGAGTGATGGAGGTTGAAAAGCTAGGCTCAATATTGAAGAGCGTTTTTGCAATTCTATGATGATGCAGGGAAAAACCGCATCACTTAGCACAAATATGGAACGTAGCTTAACATGTAAACGAAAAGCTAAGCTAAAGAGGAACACCACGGTAGAACGTGTTTACGCTCAAGTTGCATATACGTTGTGAGTAAGCGGTTTTTCCATGCGCACGAATGCTCTTCAATATTGCATGCAGCTTTCGATACCGCATCACTCACACAAAGCACAAAACTTGGCGATAAATACTAAAAAAAGCAATGAACAGGTCACTTCGAAAAATCCAGCTGAATGTAGGAGATACTTGGCGCATCTGGATGATGCGGTTAAATTTTCGAGCAATCTTATCCAAGAAAACATAGGTGCGATATTTGGGGAAATTCCTCTGACCCCCTTCACTTTAAGGCCATCCGGTTGACCCCTTTTATCTGAGGTTGAGACCAGAGGAAACGCCAGCTGCTCTTCTCCTCAGACACCAAGACTGCAAGAGAGTATCGAAGCAACAGCGTTTTGTTGAAAAAACGCATGCTTGAGACCTTCAGCGCACTCAAAGTGGCGTTGATAACGAAACATAATCAAAAATTAAAAGGATGCCTGATTCTTTGAAATCAACATCTTATCAATGAGTACACACTGTCACAGAAAGAGTTGAGCAAGAGTAGAAAATCTGGACTAGCCAGTGATGGATGTTTACTGACAAGAATCGTACTATATCTCCTTTCACTAGAGAGGATAATTACAAATAAAAGGGCATTCAGATTACTCGTTTCTCAAGCTTTCGAATCATATATAAACTTCGGAAAGTAACCTTCTTGGTCTGAAAAAATAATTACCCTAAAATCCGGCATATAAGTCCGGCCTTATCTATTTCTTTGACACAAAAAATTGATAAAAAAATCGCCCTCTGCGCTGCCAGAAGTCTAGCAGATGAATCCTCCCATCAGACTGCAGCAGATCTGCTAGACTTCTGGCAGCGCAGAGGGCGATTTTTTATCAATTTTTTGTGTCAAAGAAATAGATAAGGCCGGACTTATATGCCGGATTTTAGGGTAGCCAGAATTGGCTGACATTGTGGGTAAAATTGCCCGTATCTCGCTTCACAGATAAGCTAGGAAAAAAGAGACGGTCTATGTCGGTTTCTTGTGTTCTTAGCTATCGATTGGTATACAAAGTTTTGGTGCATAAAGCTTTCCCAATCCAAAAAAGTCTTGCTCCGGCTACCCATAGAAAGCCGGAGCAGGGTGGTGCAAATTAGTATTGAATATCTCCACCTCAATTTTGAAAAACCACGAGTTTTTTCTCCCAACAACTTAAATACCTTTAGAAAGCTCACAAAACAAGGATTCGACATAGACCGTCTCTTCTTCTCTAGCACCCTTCTACTTAGAGATACATGGCATTTTAGCTAAAAACATATGTGTTTTCGTCAAGAAATTCCTGCGTGAAGAAAGAATGAAGGTGCCTGATTTTCTAAAAGTAGCACAGAGCAAGACCTTGCCAATAAATATAGACCGTCTCTTTTTTCTAGCTCTTCTCTTTCTCTCAGAAATGGAGCGCAAAGTGATTGCATGAAATCAGTTGATGCTGAAGCTAGATATGATTTCTTAGATGTGTATTCACAGGAGAGCTGGAAAAAAAGAGACGATCTACGTCGAAACTATATGTCTCGAGCTTTCGAATGGTATGTTGGCTGATGAAATACAAAGCTTTCCCGAGTCAAAAAAGTCTCTGTTAGATGACCTTCGAAAGCCTAGGCATTGAGAAAATCTTTATTTTACACCGCTTATTTTCCTTTTTCTCACTCCCGTTACCGTTAGGCATGCAAGCATGCGTCAGAATTCATCTTAAGACTCAGTTACCCCTTCACTTTTCTAGGTCGGAAATAGCCAAAACCCCCTTCATCTGGAGAGGACCCTGGTCCCCCTATCGCACCTATGTCCAAGAATATGTACCTTGAAACCAAAATAGATTGCGCAATGAGTCCTCGCGCCGCAAGCCAGGGAGGCAATGGCTTGACTCATTGCGCTTCGGCTGCGAAAGGCAACCTGTGCAGTCTGGAAGCTCCCTTCCTCTGGTAACAATTCATCGGCCCGGAGGGTAAAGTGCTTTATTGGCCCGGGGGCGGGAATCGAACCTGGGTCCGATCTGGCCATGAAGGCGCTTCATACCATTACGCCACTTCCCACCCGGATCGAAAATCATGACCTATAATTCAGTTAAGTAACAGACAGTCAAGTTAAAGTGACAAAGTAATAGTAAAAAGGTTGAAACAAAGGCGTCTATTCATCGCCGACAGAACTTTTTCGCATTAGATGCTTCTAAAGCCAAGAAGCGATACAAGTATCCTATTGACAAGCTTCACAAATTAATCTGACCAACGAATTCGGCAATAGTTTTTAATCTTGGCATTCTTTTCTCGCAGGCTGTCATGAAAAATGCTAAAAACTCGGGAATGGTCTAAGGGAGGTGTGATATCTCATCACGAGGAAAGTGGAGAGAAAGTCGGTATTCAAATTCCATGCTTCGTGAGCAAAACATCGTAACAGTAAACAAAATGACACATGGATACTCTATGTTTTCCTTGTAGTAGAAGACATCAACTCTTTTGTCTGAAAGAAGGATGCAGAAACTCTCTAGAGATCGCGCTTCATCAGTTGTTTTATTCAAACTGCTATGGAAATTTGCGATAAACTGTGAACAGTTTGCTGCTTAGCAATAACAAATGTATCTTGTTATCGGTCTTTGCTAAATGAATCATGAATCTCGCATGCTAAGAGAGATAAGGTTATGTATCGTAGGTAGGTAGCAGATTATATATATACCAGTGCGTCACCTCTGCTTCGCAGAGG